TCAATGACATCATGCTGCTGAAGGTGAGGCCTCCCAGCTGCCTTGGTCTGCCACTGAAGGCTTGTCCCTCCTGCTCTGACCCTGCCCTTCCCTCCCTTCCTTCCATCCTGCCCTTCATGGTGTCCCAGCCCAGAAGGCCACTGGCTGAGCTGGACTCTTGTGCTTCTTCTCCATCAGCTGAAGAGCAAAGCCCAGCGGACTAAGGCTGTCCAGACCCTCAAGCTGCCCACAGGCAAGGCCCAGGTGAAGCCAGGGAGTGTGTGCTATGTGGCTGGCTGGGGCGACACAGACACAAGGGGAACACCCTCAAACACACTGCAAGAGGTGAAGATCAAAGTGCAGGCAGACCAGGTCTGTGAGTCCCGCTTTGCAAATTATGACAAGGCCACACAGATGTGTGTGGGAGACCCAAAGAAAAACCAAGGTTCCTTTGAGGTGAGTCTGATCATCTACCTCTCGTGGCTCACTGGGAGGGGATGGGAGACTCTGGGACCTGGTGACACAAACAGCAAGGGACTCTTCACCAAACAGCTGTGACCATGCTCTTAGAAAAGATTGGGAGCAGGTGGAACTGGGAATCAGCTAGGAACTCTGTTGAATCTGCTCTTCTCAAGCAGGAGTTTGCACAAGCTGAAGTCCCAGGCTTAAGAAGCTGCTCCCTGAGTGTGTCATAACCAGGCGTCTCTTCAGAGTGAGCATTCCAATGGCTCACGCCCCACCCTCACATCAGGTGCACTCACCTGAACCCTGTCCTTACATGGAACCCTGGAGATGATGGTCCAACCCTCAAAGGGAGCGGATCATGGGACCTGGGGAGAGCACAGAGGCTGTCCCAAGGAGTGAGGTGACACAGTAACTATGCCCATAGCCAGAACTCAGAAGCCCAGGGCCCCAGGAGCGAACCTACACTTTGAAGTTCACAATCAGAATGTATAAGTCGTCACTCTCAGAGTGCAGGCTTGGGATAAGAGGGAGGATAGGCCTGGAAGGAGGAACCAGCTCAGTTCTTCCCCTCTCTGTTCACAGGGCGATTCAGGAGGGCCCCTTGTGTGCAAGAACGTGGCCCAGGGCATTGTCGCCTATGGACTTAATGACGGGACAACTCCACAAGTCTACACCAAAGTCTCAAGTTTTCTACACTGGATAAAGAAAACCATGAAACGCCGCTAAGTACAAGAGACAAAAGAGACCCTTTATTTAACCATCCACCCTGGAGCTGAGTCCAGAACTGAACTAGAAGAGGTCTCTTGGTA